TCATAGTGAATCTATGAGAAAAGTACCAGTTTCATTCCGATCTTACAGATGAGGGAACTGGAGTAGGAAGTTAAGTGCTTTGCCCAAGTCATGTTGCTATTACATCATAGAAGCCAGGATGTGAACTCTAGCAGTATGGTTCTAGGATCTACATTTTTACCCACTAGGCTTTACCTCGTCTCCCTCTTTTGTGAAACACACTTTACTTTTATCACTGGACAAGAATTTCTATTATCCTTAAATTATAAAAGAGAGGCTATGAATTAAGGTCCAAATCATGCAGACACACTGAGACTCCCAGAGAAGTATAACTCTCGAGCCCAAATCTCAACACAAATAACTGTATCTTATTTATCCAATTGCAGATTCTTTTCAGCTGAATACAGTATTTGCCTTTGATGATGTAGGTACAGATGTGGCTATATGTCAGTAACTTGCTCATTGAGTTCCACTGCAGATGATGCCACACTAGAAGTGAAATATTCAAAGTGCTTTACACCGGTCTTGGATTTCTTCGATTTATTTCCCCCCCCTTTTAAGGATCATTATTGCTATCTGAATGATCTTATTTGCATGCAAGATGATTTCTAGTGATTATTACTATTTGTAATAATCTGTATCAGAAAGCTCCCTGGCCAGCTCTTGCCTGAACTGCAAAGTACTCTTGTGGGCTCTCTGGGAAACACCAAATATCATAAACTGCAGGTGGCTTGTGGAATTATTCTAACTGCAAGCAATAGCACTTCATAGTAATGAAAAAGAAACGTATTTGTTTCTTAACTAAGTAGGTAAATAGCCTTCTTTATTGCTACTCCTTGGGGACCAACGATTTTGGAAATAACATATCAAAACGGTAGGCCATCAAAGCTCATTAATTTATATTCAATTGTTTCAGATGTGTTTCCGTTATTGGAGCATGCTGGATTGAATATTAACCTTACCATGCATGAGTATTAGCATTTCCTAAGTAAAATAATGACTTCTGCCAGCGAATATGTTATCTAGTGAAGAGCACAGGGCAAGAAGAGCCCTTATGTTTGGACCACTGCAGCTAAAGATAAAATGTGCTCATTATAGTTACCGTATTCTTTAAGTAAAAAGCTCTTACAAAATCCTAGAAGACGCTTCAACAAGGCAACCTATATACTTCAAAGTAGTAAGAACGTATTTCCTTAAAATGTTTACTTTAGACATAAGAAAAATACAATTCCCCTAAACAGGCCAAGTTAAGGAGATTTTTTTTTTAAATTATGTTTGCTATTTTTCATGTTTTAGAACTGAAAATGAAAGACAGAGCATTACTACAAAGATGGCTAATTGTAAATAAATTACAGTACACACATGCATACATATGTAACGACTTATGTAGCTGTGGGAGGTTTCAGCCAATTAAAAAATATAGCATCATCAGGCTCACAGTAATTATTTGATCTCCTCCCACAGACTGTACCACAGCCGAGAACCCTACATGTGGGTTTCCATCCTTTCTCTAGTCTGTATTCCCCTCTATCCCTGGGTTCCTTTCAATGCTATTGTTACAAGTACTACTGCTCCCCTTATTAGCATATGTGAGTCTTCAACAGCAGACAAAATTCTCCACAAAAATAGTGCTCCCAAATAGTGCCTTTCACTAGAGAAAATCACCCAAGGCATACTAAGTTAAAAAGAAATGTAAGTTTTATACAAAAGCAAAAAGCGATTCTTTCCCAAGTGATTTTCATTTAAAAGCAAAAATCAGCGTTCATTTGTAATGTACAAAATTGTACAATTTCACCTCTAAATAACAGAACTTATTTGTATCCGAATTCCGAATCATAAAATCACAAGTGATTAGGGAACTGAACACAGTTTTAAAGCATGCCTGCTAATATAGGTGCAGAAAGAATCACATGTGCAAAAGGAAAAAAAAAACACAAAAAAACCCAAAAGACCCTCCTTCACGTAAAACGAGAATTAACAAAGGAGAGAATAATTGTAACTTTCAACAGTTGGCGAGTATTCAAAATTCGTGTTCTGCAATTTCTTGAACTCAAACAGGCTTTCCTGCCTTTTCTTTTTTCTCATGTTTATGAGTACATTTACTCATTCCTGTGCTCTGTTATCTAAGTAAATATGGCTAAAAATTCACGACCTACCTACTCACAGCCCTGCAAACAGGAAAATCAAAAAGGTCACTTAATAAAAGGGGCGTTGGCTGCTGAGGGCGCGGATTCCTCGCGGACGTAATACATATGTAAATATGGCGCTTTACGTAAAACATCTTCAAATAAAGTAGGTGTTTAATGTGCGTCTTTCATTGCAAAGGGTTAATCAGCAAGGTTTACGTTTGGGAATTTTCTGAACCATGCTCCTCCCTCTCCCGTAGCGCAGCCAAAAATCATCTGACAGGAAACATAAGATTAAGTTTGTCCTACCTAAGCGAACAAAGAGTGCTCTGAACAGGCCACCGGTTTACTGCAGAGCGGGAACTTTTCTAATCCTGCTGGAATCTGCAGTGCTGCTCAGAAAATATCACGGAAAAAGTTTTCTTTCCTCTAACATCTTGTCTCTGGATCATCTCATTTTGGTCACACTGCAGATCCTGCTGCTTCTCCCATAAAGGTTAACTTAAAGCTCCAAACATAATCATGTGGAAAATGGACATTATTGATTCCTATGGTCCATTGTTCCCCTATCCTAAGTCCCTGAAGTTCAAGTTCAATCTGGAATTACATCATGTCTGGTTTCTCCTGGTTACCAGACGGCTTGAGACGTGACCACAGCTACAGAAAAAACAAACAGCCTTCTTCACGCTTCAGCTCCCCTATCGATTCAAACGTAAACTTTTTTCTTTCTCTCAAGTATGCTTCAAGTATGGAGCATGGTTAATTTAGAGATTAAGTTCCAAATTAGATTATCTAATGGCATCTTAATGGATTGCTGACCCATTTCCTGTGGGATGGCAGCATGCGAGTCTGGCTGGAATACAATTAATTTCTTAGGAAGTGTTCTGAAGAGTTTCCTAGATAAAAAGGAAATGTTGTGTTGTGCAAATCTTTCTTTATAAATGGAGAAAGTTAGGCAAAACTACAGCAAATTCCAATGTATTTTTCAACAGCCAGATCACTGATACTGTGTGTGTGTGTGTGAACACTGTATCAAGACTGTTTTCGAGAACGGTGCCATTTTTTATTTCAGAACAGGTGCAAATGATTTTTTGATGGGAATGGAGCAGTTCTTTTAGAAAGAATACTCCAATGCAAAGAACAACACTAGTCAGTAACCCCACTACCAAACAACGGACATGTGAATTTTTGGCTTCTGCAATTCTCCTCCTCCTCAAACCAAAGATGCTTCCATTCATCTACCTTATCAGCATTTCTATCATAGTCCCAGAGTGGTGCTAGGGGCCCAGAATGGTGAGTAAGAAGTTGAACATTTTGAACACACTTTTGAGCTGACAGCTGAAAAGGAAATTCAGCACTCTGAGAATAAAGCTCCCCCCAGGAACTCCAGGAACAACCCAGCTGTTGTCAAGATAACAAACTGAAAGCAGGAAATGCTAACCTAGTGAATTTGTAGGGATGCTCTAAGTGTAATGTTGAAAGAAGAGTTAACTCTTGATACTACCTAAGGACAGGAAACATACTGTCCTTACTATATATGTGCCCTATGTCTAGGTATGTGTGTAGACACACGCACATACATGTGTATACCCACATTTATGCATGCGCATCCGCACATGCGTGTGTATACATCATATATGTATTTGCATACAAACATGGTTTGCAACCCAATATCGAAGATTATTTTTGTTTAAAGGACGTATATTTTACAAAGAACGGTTTATGGACAAAGCAACGGAGATGGTAAATGGTTGAGGACAGCGTTATGCAAATAGGGTTCTATGTATGGAATGAATGCTCTTACTCCTTCCTTTTTGCCCTCCCTCTCCTGACCAACCAGATCCAAATAATCTTTACTGGCTGCTAAATTTCTCCTGGGAAATCAAGCGACTCTTTAGAATTGCAGTAATAAACGACAATTTCTTACAAAAACACGTGTAAAGTAACTACAGAATGAAGTATTCAACTCAGAGAAAGGAACTGCTAACACATGTAACATGGAAAGTACCTGATAAAAGTCTCTTTGGTGCCATTCAATTATGGCATCAGCAGAGACACAAAAATCCTTCCAATTATTTCAGTGGAATCTTCATTTATTCATTATTTCAGAGGCTGAGCAAATGGTTTGTGTAAACATATCCTTCAGTAACACGCGCATGTTTATTTTAGCCATCTGAAGGCTTCTTCTATGTTTATATAAGCCATCAGACACATACAGCCACTCACTTGTGGCTTTGCTTCTCTTGAAAGGGTGAAGGCAGAGAAGAGGGAATGAAACAATAAATCCAGTTGCTCTTTTGCATAAAGCACCTCCTCCAATGTTTTAAAATAACTAATGTTTATATTATTCTTGGATTGTCCTTCGGCTTTCTTTTTCATTCAATTATATTGCTCTTTCATACTTGATAGTACAAGCCATGTTCAGGCTATAGTTTCAAAAAAAGAAAGCCAGTCAGGGAGTTAACTGCTATGTTTATTTATACCTACATAACTCACATATGCCGCAGTGTAATTTGTCCACATCGGAGGACAAAGCGCAGACGCAACAGAACAGCGTCAGCAACTCATCACCTATTACCCTCCCCGGAGCTGAGCCCCTCCTGACTCAAGAAATGAGCCCTTCCCCAACGCATTTCACTCTGGGTTAACTGCAGTAACCTTTGGGTTGGACAGAAAAACTCACGTTTTCAAGGTGCAAGCAAAACACACACACACACACACACACACAGGGCTCACAAAATTCTAAGGTCAAAACAACAAAACACCTTCAGGGCTGCAACCTAAATAAGTCTGTGAAAACTTTCCGATGGAGTCGGCCGTGGTTCCTAAGGGACTGTTTCTCCGCTGGAGTGGGGGCGGGGCCGAGGGGGAGGGGGATGGAGGAAATCTTCCAGCTTTGATTACAGTAGCCCAGCTCCACAGCACTGCCGTTTCCAGTCCTGCCCAAGGTGCTGCTTGTGACCTGGAAACACGTCTACAGGAGGATGGGCTTAAAGCAGAAAGGGAGACCACCACGGACAAGGGATTGTACTAAGAAAGAAATGGCAACAAACAACAATCAAAACAAAATAAAACGAAGCAAAGCCAAAACACAGAGCCAAACCCAAACACCTTCTTAGCTTTGCCCTTTTCTACTACGAAGTCTCCAGGGATTGCCTTTTGTTGAAAACAAAAAGCAACAACCACCACAAAAATAGCCTGATAGTTTCTTTATTATTCCATTATGACAAAGGCAGATTATTTAATTCTCTGGTTGAAGGGCTCTACATTGCTCAGATATTTTCAATTTAATCAGATAATTTTAAAGCTGCAGCAGTGCCCTGATGATTTTAGACGTCTGTTGTCTGCCTTAAAAGTAGTGGTATTTTAGAAGTTTATGATTTCCTTTTTCAGTATCTTTTCTAGAAAAAAGAAAGCACACGAAGCTTCATAAATAAGCACAGAGCACGAACTATAAACCATGAATATGTTATGAATATCTGTATTATCAGATATGGACTCTACTATTAGGGTCCTATCAAAAAAAATTGCTGTCTTGTTTGAGCATATTTATTGTAAACTGCAGGATACTTAGGTTTTCAGAACTGTGAGCACCTGTATCAGTCACCCAGCATTTGGGACAGCCTGCCACAGAGATTCAATAAACACCTGTTGAATGCATGAATGTGATGGCCACCATGATCAATGACGTGCCTTCTGAATCATGATAAAAAGGGAATAAACCCAGAAGCTACCTTTATAAAGCCTTTTGAAGTATTAAAGCCATTCTCTATATCCCATTATCTATTAATCAAAAAAGGGTTACTATCTTTGAGAGGGGAAGAAAAAAAATCTTAACAAAATGAGTTCTGAGTTTCTTTCCAACTCCTTCTAACCTGAAGCTTGTTACCACACCAATTTTTTCAACAAGAGGGAATTTTGTAACATGAGCAATGCTCTCCAAAGAACTAGGTTTAGTCATCATATTAATTCACTCAGATCCATGTGTTCTGTGGTGATTCATTGTCCACTCACCTTTTCGCTTTCGGGGATATCAACTTTTGATTCAAAAAATGACTAGGAACTGGGTGCAGTCATATTTCAAATCACCAATAACTTATATCTTTATTTGGCTTTAATGTTCTTTATAGAGGTGTTAGCCTACTTTAGAGAAGTAAATGTCAATCGACAATCCACAGATTTAGAAGTTCACACAGCTGTAGCCACATTTAAAAACATGAGTAGACTTCATCTGATTTGCAATTCTTATCAATACGGTAAGGTTTATACGCAGACAGAGTCCCTTTTGCTGACTGACAGAGAGAACATGGACTATCAGGAAGTTATTTAATCAAATAAATCCAAACATGGTGTTACCAAATCGATTAAATTAACTTAAAAATAATTAAGACCACTCAAATAAGACATTTTCATTGGATTTAATTCATAATCTTATAAAGACTATTTAAATAAGATGCTTTCCTTGTGCTTATTTTCTTTTTTATAAGCCTATGTTGTATTTTTTTCCAAATGGAGGAATTATATAAAATTCTTGGGGAAAAAATTAAAATATGTAAAAATGTATACATTTTAAAGTGGATGCTATACCGATCTTTAAAAAGAGGAAAAGTCCTATCGTATTCGTTTTAGGAAGAGTATTAATAAAAACTCATGAAATTTTTAAATGGACTCCAAATAATTTTCACCTGAGTAAAATTGGACATTTTGTTAATCAAATTCTTTTAAACTCTACTCTTCAACAGTTTCTATCAAGTAAAATGGAGATGGGCAACATGTTTACAACTGATATCAGAGTATGTACTTTTAACACAGGCATTACAATTATAGCAAGGCTGGAAAATTATGTTGGCTCTACTTTTGGTGAACTCCTTATGGGATTACCTCACTCTTTTCTATAAATTATTATCTCTTATTACATACGATTATGCCATGAATTTTAATTATTTAACTTGTCAATTTGACACAATTTGTTCTTTATTAAAATAATACATAAGAAGCTGACTTAGCACAACTAACTTTCCAAAACCAACACATGAGACAATATCAAACTAGTTTTGAAAATGAAGTTTCAGAATAATTTTCTCAGCCAACCAAATAAATTCAGTTCTCAATGATTCAATCAACAAACAGAGGTTAAAACTTTATTTCAACCAAATTCCTTCTTTAGCTATTGATTTCAACAATCTTCTGACTCCAGAATTAATGAGTGTTGCTAGTAACAGTTTAATTGATTAACTGGAAAATCTTCTTCTAGCTTTTCCCTTCTGACAGGGGAAAAAGCTAACAGTAAAATGGTTCAAAGTTAGCAGTAGAGGAAAGAGCTGAAGTGAGAAGAGTCTATAATGTGAAAAAACCAATGCTTTATTCAACCTCAATTGGCTGAAAAATCTTCCCTAGAACTATGATTTCATTTTTCAGGTCCTAAGATCTAAGTGTCAAATCTTCTCCTCGCTCCCCCCCCCAACTTATAAACTGTTGAAAACATTTGACAGCACTTAGAAATTCCAATGATCACTTAGCATATGCTACAGTCCCAAATTAATTTGAAGTTGCATTTACATCAGAAAGCAAGGAGGAGGGGAGGGAAGGAGGGATGGTAAAGCCAAAACAACTAAATTTTTAACATATACTTTCTGTAAAGCTAGTTAAAAACAAAACACTATAGCTCAGGTAATTTTTAGGTGTAAGTGTAGGGTTGGAAATAATTAAAATGTTACCTTTGCCAAGTAATTCCCAATGTATCCTCACTGGTACTGGGGTATAAATGCCTGCCGTTTTGATTCATGGTCCAGTCACAAATCCTCAGCTGTCAATTGAAACCTAGCAGTCAGATATGGATCGAGCAGTACTACAGTTTTTAGTATTTAAATGAACACATGCAAACTAGTATTGTACATGGCATTAACCTTACTTTCCCAAGAGGCAACTTAAAGAAAAAAAAAAAAAAAGCAAAAGAAAAACCTTACTCTGCAAAGCAAAACTTCCTAGACTTTTTTCTTTTTAGAAAAACCTACTGCAATATGCTTCTCTATTAAGTAAAGCATACAAGAGAAACGAGTGCTTAGAACATCACAATTAGCCATTATTAGAGTACAAATCGAGCTGAAATAAAAGCAAACGTTAATATTCAATAGAGAGATATATTTCAGGAAGAACATAAAAAAAGCTTTTTTTATGCAACATACCAAATCATCTGCACGGAGTAAAATAATCAATAACTTTAAGCATGCAGTTTGCAAAACACAGGAGACATGCAGTTTAGAGGAGTAAAGACCCCATCTCTACGTCCCCCCTAGCTTACGTTTAGAAGCATCAAGGCACTCTGTTTTAGATGTTTCCTAATTTTGTTTTAGCCAAAGAGGCACCGTTTAGGAAGAGTTGATAAGAATTTCTATTTTCGTTTTTAAACTCCGAGTAATGGTATTTAAAATACTTTACCCATCTGAATAGAGCGAGGAATGCTCGGAGTACAAGCTGAAACAAATTCTTCCCAGATCTCGGAGTCATCAGCTCTGCCCTTTGGAAGAGGGTTCGAGTAACCCTATCCAGCTCTGTTTGGCTCACAGCTGCCCTACAGTGCTAGCAGATTTATTGAAAAGATATATTGCTTATTTTTATGCTTAAGAAACTAAACTTATCTGGCTCTGGGGGGGGGGACACCCCACTAGAAGATCATAGTTTTTAATTGTTAGATAGCCATGCTGTAAATGAACTGCATCTCGCACTGTAAAGTTGACTTACAGCAATCCACTGAACCCTGTTTGCTGCTTTTCAGTGAGGATTTCTACAAGATGATGATTGCAGCCAAAGTGCCTTTAAACTGATGATAAATTATTGTAATCCTTTCTGATAATGTTATGGCTAAAAAAAAAATTGGCTATTAAGAACCTTTACCTTTCCTGTTAGACCAATGAGTTTCTACACATTCTAAGTAACAGTGATTCTGGAGTTTTAGAATAATCGTTTTGCACACTTTTCTACAGATCTATGAGTCTCCAAAAATACCACCTCAAAATTTCCAAAACATGTGTTTTCATTATATTGATATTTTAGTTGAAAGTAGTTTTATAAAGAACTGAAAAAATTCCCTTAAGGTAGGTCGGTAGATAGGTAAGTAGGTAGGTAGGCAGATAGATAGACAGATTGATAGATAGATTGATAGATGGCCAGATAAATAGATTGATAGATACATAGATTCTTCTCAGAATGTATTCATAAAGAAGCTATAAACCAGTAAAAAAATTAAATTGGAATGAAAAATATTCTTAAAATGGACCATCATACTTGCATGATGGAGAAAATGTATACTTGCTTAGTTTTAAAATCAAACAGATCACAAACTTTATGGCGAGATTTTTGTCAAGTTCTCCAAATGGATCATCTAATCAGTAATGCAATGTGATGGGGCAACCTGAACTTGTTTTTTTACAGCAACAGTAAGCCAATTGTCTATTTCAAAATATGGTTTTTAAAAGCAGTACTATGAAAATAAGCTAAAAACAGTTAAAAAAAAAACAAAACAAAAACGAGCTTGTGTAAAGATGACCTTAGGGGCCACTTACTGATTCTGCTCTAGTCAATGAAAATCCTAGTTTTCCGTCAATTAAATATTCTCAAGAATGGAGGTGTCTCTTCAGGCACAGCTCCTGATAATTCTGCTAAATTCAGGTTAGTTTCTGTGGGGCTCTCAGCTTAGATTGGACAAGTGTTCGGAAAAAGATGCTTTCACAAAACCATGTGAACCTAAATATTACTCGCTGATGAACTGACTTGTCTCACAAACAATTACAGGAACCCTATGTCTCCTTGAAAGGAAGCATTTGTAAACTGCTTAGTTTTTTGTTGTTCACATTGCTCATGTTACATTTATTTGTTTGTTTACCATCCTAAAATATGTCAGGTGGGCTACCTTTGGCCACATATGTAACATTTAAAATCAATGTATTTTTGGGCTTTTCTTTCCTAAGAGTAGTCCCAAAGGGGTTAAACCTGACTATAGCTATTCACTTTCATCCATACTTAAGATAAATTCAATAGGAATATTTTCTTTCAAACAGAAAATATGATGAAATACATACAAAATGATCATTGAATGTAGTAATTAGCAGTAATCTAGATGCCAAAGAAATTGGCAGGATATTAATCTGTATTGAGTTAATTTCCTCTCCGTTACTGAAAATGAAAAATATAAATTATACTTACTTAGCTACCTAGATTGTGAGGTAGCATTTATCAACATTTCCAAAAATTTCTGAGGAGACAGGTTTATACATGCTTATTTGTTATAAGTCACTTAAGCCAAGTCATTTAAGCAAGAGTCTCTTCAGGTTTTTTGGTCTTACTTTATTAATTAACCTTCTTTTGCGTAAAACATCTTTGAATTAATAAACCTCCTAGTAAAGTGAAATTTTAAAGGTGATGGTGTGGTAGGGGAAACAAATAATTAAAATAGAAATCACCTCTTCACTAAAGATTTCCATGACATTATTCCTAATAAGTTCAATTACGAAGACTGACAAAGATAGTTCTGACTCAGCAAATTTTGAATAGATTCTAGGTGATAAAAGGTTAATACTAGGTGTATTAAAGCTTCCTTTTGGAGCATGTTAAATGTTCTTAGTATTAATATAAGTCAGTATCCCCAACAACGAAAACTTTTTACATTATGCTCTAAATAAATTTAAAATAATAGGTGATAATGTGATTTGAAGTTGGCATGATGATTTCTCAGTGTCCGTCCTGTGAGACAGGCAGCGTCACATATTTTAGCTATCAATTCTTTTTAAATTAAATTTTAAAACTTTAAGTGCTACCTAAGCTTCAGTAACACTGTAATGGCTTTTCCAAGTATTTTCCTTCAAAAATTAGGAAATTACTTGCTTTCTCCAATGTAATCAAACTTAAAACTCTAGGTACTGATTAATTTAGAAATTTAGTTTATTAAAGTTGTCTGTTAGTTTGGAGATGGATAGCAATTCTTATTTTTGTGACAATATAGAGTCTTTGACAGACCTGAGCATATGCATATCCTTATAGAAATGCACACTCACATAAATAATTTTAATTCTTTAATTTATATGCATCTATCAATATGAAATTAGAGTATCTAGAAAATTAAGGTAAAATTTATATTAAAACAATTATATATAATTCCAAAAGCAAGTGGAAGGTGAGGTAAAGAAGCAAGATTCTCCTCCAGAAAAGCTATGAGTAAAGGGTTAAGGTGGAAATAGTCCAAACTAAGAAAGAAGTGAAGGTTAAGATTTCACTGCATATGTTCTTAGGATGGAGTTCTATAAAGTCTCTGGGATGAGAACATTGTTCCTTGCCTACAAGGATGGATCCAACCAGTTTTCCTCAAAAATCTACATAGGAAAAAAAAAATCTACATAAGGGAAAACACCTAAGATTTGGATCATTAGCTTTTCCTACACTACACTCACATAGTCATGTAGGTAGCTGACAGCCATAAAGAATCAATATTGCTTGTGATTTCAGAGTTAAGATTTTGTTTATTCAAATGAGGGCCCTCCATTGTTACTAACAGGGGCTTTTGTTAAATGCTTAGCAATTAGCTTTGGGAACAAAGGAAAGAAGGTAAGCAAAATGTTCTATTTTGCTAGACTCAGCAAACAGGCCGATGAACTAACAGTCCCTCATGATGACAACAGCTCTCAGTTGAACCAATAAACCATTAAACTGTAAACAGAATAATCAACACAGGCAAATTTGCCTTCTCACTTTTTTTAAGTTTACAGGGACCCTCAAGGGAATAGCTTGAAAGGCATGTTTTTATGTTCTCTTAGGTTTTTTTCATTTCTCCAGATAGCCTCAAGGAAACAGATTTTTGAGGGGTAGAGGCGCTTTTGAGGGGATGCTTAAAAAGATTAACCACTCCAATATCCAAACTCTCCTCTAACTCTTAGATTAGTAGAATTTTATTTTATTGCTATTATTAATTACTCACCATGGATCAAATAAAATGGCCTCTGAATGAATAGGGTGTAGCCTTACTGAACAAGCAAAATGTTCAGAATGAAACTGTTATATGTAAGACATATAACACATTAAAAAAAAAAGATATTCAAGATCATCCTAGTACCTTAAATTCTAATGTCAGTTTCTGAAACCCATGCTTCTTGATATTTAATTGAATTAGTACAGTAGAATTACTTTAAGTGGGTATGCATGGCCCATGAACAAAGTAAACATAACTGATCATGAATCATAAGTATCAGAAAATGAAAGTTTTTTTTAGATGGAGACTACTTTAACTTGTAAAATTTAAGGTTTCACAGGAACTCGGAGATTGTGTAATTCAACCTCTACATTTTCCTTTCCAAGATAAGGATACAGGACAGCAAAGTTTATGGACTTGTCCAAGGTCAGACACGCCCTGTTTGTGTCAACATTAAAACCACACTTGCAAACTCCTATTCCCTGGTTCTCACCCAAGACACTAGTTTGCCTATCACTGTTCTTTTCCTACTCTGTCCTTTATGTGCAGCCCAAGAATATTTAAGACTAAAATGGCTATAATTATAACCTTCAGAATTTCCTCTACTTACCTGATTCAACTTAGATCTTTTAAAGTAAATATTTTCAGGGAAGAAGAAAATTTTTCCCTTGTGATTTTGTTGATTGAATTTAAGGTTACAGCAAACATAACTTTATTTTTACATTAATTAGAATGGTCTATCTGGACATTAGCATTTGATAACTACTCAAAGTAAGTTAATAAATAAATGAATAATAAAACAGACCATGGAAGGTTTTTTTTAAAACTTAAGAACTAGCCAAAAAGCT